TCTTACTTGGTAAGTAGACCACAACTGGACTTTAGGGTTCTTTTGCATCAGAAAGTATATAGTAGTTAAGATGTCTTCGAAGTCTGGGTGGGGAGGAGAAAGGACTGCTTAATTTTAAGTTCTGACAGCGCATCTGTGACTTAGGGGAGAGCAGGAGCGACTTACCTTCTGGTTCAAAGAAGACATCAGACGCGAGAATAATATCTTGCGGTGCTAGGGCCAGAAGATCCTGCGAGATGTGGCCCCATGTTATCCCTACAACGCGTACCTGTGGCAGGTGGTTCATTTGGCAACTTTGCTGGCAGACGGCTAGACAGGGAGGCAGCTCCGAGCTGTCTGACAGTATTACTTCAGCACCACACTTTGCAGCGACAATTCCTGGCAGGCTCACTCCAGCTCCAATCTAACAAAAGGCCAGTGTTTGCTGCAGATATGGGGTTTTAGCCATAGTTTCCCATTTTATTCTCGGTGAGTCAGTGTCTAGATACAAACTGACTGGGACTTGTCAAGACTGAGCCACATGAAGTGACGTGACATCCATTAGAGCTTAGTTTAAATGGCTAGGACTTTACCTGGGACACCTGGCCAGGTTAGAGGGCAGCAAGTCCCATTTAGATACCAAAGGCCCTGCAACTGGCATAGATAGGACTTTTAATGTGGCTAATCGATGGGGTTTTCCTGTTTGGCCTTGAAAAAGTATTTTAAAAAGTTTAAGGGGTAATAAAGAGGGATGAGTCCTTACAAAAGCCTTGGCACAATGGTTAGATCACTTGCACTCACAAGACTCCTAGCTCAAAGCATAAGGATCTAGACCTAATATAGCCTAAGATTTCTGGGAAGCTCCAGGGTACCGGTACCTCCAAGACCGCCTTGCCCCGCAGAGATGATCTGTGAAACCACAGGTACTGAGCCAGGACCACAGCACAAGGCCACACGTACATCCCGTACTGGGGATGCAGAACCTGAAAAGGAGTTTTGGCATGTCAACCCAGGTAACCTAGACTGGCACGAGGCTGCCACTGAAGCTGCAGTTTCTCAGTAAGAGGAGGGTGACTGGGAAAAATGGCTCTGGTGGGGTCACTGAGCCTTGGGGGGGGGGGACACCAGGCCTTTGGGTGGGTCTTGCAGGCTACAGTTAGCTTTTATTGTAAGTGCAGTTAAGATTCTGCAAGGTTTTAAAGCATGGGCATAACTTAAGGGTGTTCACTGAGAACAATATGGCCCCAGGATGACATTCCTAAAAAGGTCTGAGTGGGCCTGAATACCAGAGATGGGGAGCCCCAGAACTTGGGGATTGCCCCAGCATAGTATTTAAAAGCAGTGACAGCTCAAATGAGTGGGTGTGAACTCGACCTCCGTCTGTCCTTGACCAGCTGTGTGCCCTGCAGTTACTGAATCTTCTGTGCTTGTTTCCCCAACTGTAAATTCTCGCAGAGTGAGGGGGAACCTTAACTACTCACTCAATGCTATGCGCAAAGAAGCGTACAGTTCGCGGTCAGCAAACTGCAAAGTTGCCGAATACTCGGTTAGAGCAAAAGGCGCCCCCTAGGGCGAAGGGTGTGGCAGGAAAGGGCTGCAGAGGGGGCGGGATCTACGGGGGAGGAACTGAAGTCCGAACCTAATCATTCAACCCACGCAACGAAAACACTGGTGCCTAAATTTTCTGGCTGCGCTTCTATCAGCTGCGTGTAAGAGCCCAAGACCTCTCCCTGCTGGTTTGCTCGGGAGCGCGAAGTTTCGCGGACTGGTTGTAAGCAGTCCATGCTCACAGCCCCACGTTCGCCCCTTGCATTCGGGGAGAAATCCATGGCGTTTCAAGGAACTATTACGCGGATTCCATGCCAGCGTTAAGGCCTTTCTTTCCCACCTTTAAACCATCACTAACGCCAAGGGCGGTAAGCAGGTTAAAATCAAATGAGTTACAGCGTGAAAGCAGCTCCACCCGGCGTTATCACTTTATTTTTTTACAGCAAAACTCACTTTGCCGAGCTGCCGCGCGCCGATCGGGCGTGCCAACCCAAAAACGGAGCAGGGACTCGAATCCCTGATCCCGAAAACGGCTGAACGGAAAAGCCCGACGGCAAAACGTTAGATATCAAGGGTGTTAGCCTGGCAGGCCAAGCCCCTTTCCTGTGGAAATCCCTAGTCATCCTGCTGTAAGATTTTCTCGCTCTGCAAAGTGGCTCCCACCGACTTTTTCAGTCCGCGGCCCGAGAAGGGCAGAAAGCCGCGCCCGCCCCCCTCGCCCACATCCGCCCGGTTGACCGAGCCCCCACCCCTGTCCAGGCGCTCCCGGGCCGGGACTGCCGCCGCACGCACGCACCTGCGGGACGCGGACCTCCAGCTCGGCCCCCGGGGCTCCGAGGCCCGGTTCCCCCGAAAACCGAAAGCGCCGGGCGCCGACCGCAGGCCCGCGGAGGCCATGTTCGTCCGCAGGGGGCCCGGCGGCCCACGAGAAGGCCGAGAAGGGCAGAAAGCCGCGCCCGCCCCCCTCGCCCAC